CTTCAGGATAATAGGACGTGGCACATCAGAACCATCAATAGAGTATATCTATTCTAAGAGAAATGTAATCATAGCAGATACCAGGTCTAGGCACTGACGAATGTAAAGGCAGCACACCTCCATTCATGTATATATGTAAATATCTCAGCAGGTTCTGCCATCAAAACATCAAATGCACCTGCTGTGCTTCCGCCTTTTCAGCAGATGTTTGACATTACATCTACAACTGTCCGCTCACTTCTCCCATCAGAGCCTCCCTTCCTCAGCTCCAGGACCAAATAGTCTCAAAGACCTTCTTCAGGATAACTAGGACAGTGGCACATCAGAACCATCATAGAGTATATCTATTCTAAGAGAAATGTAATCATAGCAGATAACCAGGTCTAGGCACCTGACGAAATGTAAAGGCAGCACACCTCCATTCATGTATATATGTAAATATCTCTTTAGCTAACTAACCCTTTTTGCTATTTTCATACTAACATACCCAAAACATTGTAAGTTGGAGCACCCAACAAAAGTAATACATTAATTTCAAATCTGTTTATCAATAATAAGGTTGAAAAGATAACAACCAAAAAAGGTTGCTGGTGCAACAATCAGGATAACATGACTGACCTGTAGCACCCATTGAGATTTGAAGCAGGCAAAATAAGGCTCTTATATGCACCCTAAGGTTGCCAAATGCGGCAATATGTGTTGTGCCCTACTTTTTGGCGCAATTGCGTGTTCTGTTCTGCGATGGTTTTGGGGGCGATGTTGGTTTCTGTGGCAACCCTTTTTACGTGGAAACTTGGATTTGCTATTTGGTTCGTGTGGTAAGTGATTTATGACGTGTTGGCAAAATTTTAGTCGCGTGCGTGGTACAACTATTTTTTCAGGTGGCTGGAAATTCTACAAGTATTTAGAAGAAGAAGGCTTTGAACATTTATTTGTGAAACATAGTATCAGTTTTGTGGATAATGAGTCTGGCTGTCATATAAATACGATAGAGATTACGTTGCGGCGTGTTAAAGCGATGTTGCCGATTTATAATTGGAAATGTGATTTGGAGTTTTATTTGGTGGTTTATATATTTTTTCATCTTTGTTCTGAAAAGGGAGAAGATGCTTTTAACAAATTTATGGTGAAATTGTTTTGGTGATGTTTGAAATTGGTATTTCTGCTGTTCAAAAAAGCGTTTATTTATGGTAAGTGCATTTTGTTCTATTCTTGTTCTTATTTAGTAGAATGTTATGTTCATTGTTTTTTTTAGTATGAATTTCTGTTGTTATTTGTTGTTTTTTTGAATTGTTTGAAATTTATTTTAGTTATTTTAGTTTATCTTGTTTGTTTAGTTTATTTTTGTTAGTGCACAATGCCTAGATTGTGTAATTCGTAGATGTTGTTTAGAGTTTAAATAGAAGGCTGAGTACATGGTATTCTTGAAATTTATTATTGTTATGTTAATTTATTAAAGCAAGGTGTGTGTAGTTTGTAGATTCCTTTCCTGCTTAGATTGTGCAATTCATAGATATATTTTTAAGTTTAAACAGAAAGCCGTGTATATGGTATTCTTTTAAATTTATTGTTGTTATGTTAATTTATTTAAGCTAGGTATACATAGTTCGTAGATTCCTTCGCTGCATAGATTGTGTAATTCTGTGATTTTTTTTTTTTTTTTTTTTTTTTTTAAGTTAAAACATATCACTGTGTATATGGATTCTTGTTGAATATTTTTGGTTAGGAACTTTATGTTTTTACTATCTAAATTTTTTGTTTCGAATTTTTAGCTTAAATTGTGTGTTTAAAGCTTGTTTTTTGCACGTGCAAAAATCACGTTTTTGCAGACATTTTAGGCTAAAAGTTCGAAATGTAGACAAAAAATTTAGGTAGTAATATGACGGCGTGAAGTTGGCGAGAAATTTGTCACTGCATTTGCCTACCTGAGGCCGCATATAAGAGTAGTTCCCAAAATAATAATAAATAATTTGTATGTAGTGTATGAGAAGATAAACAAATGATTACAAATTCAGAACAAAAGGTCGTAAGAAGTTATGCCACGAAAAGGGTTACAAATCAGTAAGTAGTAAGTACTGCCACCTCTGGCAGCTATACAACCCAGAACATGACATGGCATCGAGTCAAGTTGATGTTTGTTTGTGTGAACGTTGGTCATCAGCACTGAGACTGAATCGGGTTTCATCGCTGAAGATCACACACCTCCAGTTGGTCACACTCCAGCTTGCCCAAGTTCTGCAAAAATCCAGTTGACGCTACCTATGATGTGGGGTAAGTGGTAGGTGTCTAAATGAACGTCAGCATTAAACTGTTGACATTATGTTCTGTTTTTAGTTTTCCTCATGGAAATTAGATCAGAGGTCATTCGGCTAAACTAACGTGGTTGCCGCTGATTGGCTGATGATATAGTACCAGCAAATTGTCCAATGTTGTGTTTACATACGCGGAAATCGTGAACATGAGGGAGTTCGCTGGTTTTCTTTTCTCTTGGTTTTTAATGTAAAGGCTACTGTTGCAGCTTAGTTTATTTTTATTTATGTTATGAAATAAATATTATGTTTATTTGAGTCCTAGTCTTTATTAAAGTAAGGCAAAGTGTACTATTGCGACTGCTCCAATGCCAACAACAATACCATCCATTCAAGTTGACAGATTCATTTGAATACCCCTATGGCATAAATAATCATGCTTTTAAACTCTCTCAGCTGCACATCTCACCCTGATCACTTACCCTGATCTCATTGGCGTCAAAATTTAAATCATGTACATATCTCTTACCAGACGACATTCCTACCGAGTTTCGTGATTGTGGCTTGGTTTCTTCTGGGGGCATATATATTTTTTTGTGAAATGGTGTTATAAAAGAATATGTAAGTAAGACAATTTTAAGATTTATTTCAAGTGTTATAACTGGTCAGTAAAATTGCTTTCGATAAGGTTATTTGCTTGAATTTCTTTATCTTGGTCTTGAGTGTTATAATTTGTTAACATGATTGCTTTGGATAATGCTATTTGCATTGAACTTTTTTATCATATCTTAATTTTAGATGCAAAAGGATTGCTATGAAACTAGTTTGCCATTATCATCAGTTTGCCATCAGTCTGACCTAAATTTAGATTTAGTCTTAGGTACAGCATATTAATTTTATTTATTAATTAAAATTTAAGTACTTGTTGATATTTCTTTATTATTATGTCCCCCTTCCCATTTCTTTAATGCCAAATTGATGCCAGGATTTAACAAAGATTTCATATTTACTTCTTACATGCTTTTTGCAGTAGTCACATTTTCATGGTTGATTTTAATATAGCATCAGAGCCATTTTCAATACATGAACTCTGCAAGGTAAAATTCATGCTGATGGCGAACCATGCATGTTTGATGTTTATCCACTACCTAGCACCATAATCGTTTAACATTTCTTGTATGAGCAGGTTTTTTAACTTTGAAAGGTGACTTTAGCTTCATTAGTGTTTTTTTTAAATGAAGTTAAATTTTTAATTTGTAAGCTTCCTTGCAAACGAATTGTTTGCACTTTCAGTAGGAGCACAAAATTTGTCTTAAGACATTTTTACGGTCATCACTTTTCCCTTCTTAGAACTTGGGAAGCCGACTTCAGCATCATGAGCCCCCGGGCAGTAATCCCTAGATTTGGTGCATTATAGCACTATCCAACATGGCAGAGAATGTTGCCAAGACATGGGTATTTGAAACATGCCCCAGTGATCATGAAAGTTGGTGGAGATCCCGACACAGAGTTGTGTCAATCGTTCCTGCAGAATAATCAAGAAATTAAGATTTTTTTAATTTAATATGCAGTTAATACTTAACCCTCTTTGTGTTTGCGTTTCATAAAAAGAAGGGCTTTTGTAGATTTCTACTATTTGCTAAGCTATCCAATCGAAAGTTCTATTTAGAATGCTATCAACCTAAATTTTCTGAAGGTAATTGTTCCAATCTATTATTGTTTTGTTGGTCACATCAGCTGATCATGTCATGTTCATTAATATTTTTTTTTTTTTTAAATGGTAGAATCACATAATTTTGAAATAATCCACTGCTTGCTGTTCTGTAGAAGGCAGGTTTCAAATTAATGTTTTTTTTTCTTCCAAAATGAGGGGAGTGGTTGGGGATAACTTAATTTATATCCATAAAAGCAAAAGGTGGCATACTGATAATCAATCGGATTACAGCAAACAAAAATGGAAATGTTATGGGTGTGTTGTTACAACATGCTTATCCACAATTGGCATTAAACCACATTGCTTTGCATGAGTTTCATTGTCAGTGGGTTAATGCATAAGTACAGGGAATTGGTAACATTTGTACGAAAAACAGAAAATACAATAACGCAAATTATTTGGAGCTATTCTTGTAATCAGAGAACTATAAATACTTACTGTTAAAATTGCTAACCATTTGAATATTTGCATTGGTGATTTATTGATATTCTTTGTGACATTTACAAAAAGGTGGCCTTAATGAGAAGGAACTACCTTGTTAAAGCAGGTGCCACATGTAACTGGCAGACTTAACACCCATTCTCTTAAGTTATCGAATTTCAGTTGTCACCACTGACTTATGCATATCTATTAGTTTTAATGACTTACGAAAGTTAGTATTTGAATTACTTTTTAATACCAATATATACAGCAAGATGGCTACAATTTTTGGTTCTTAAAGAATTCTGGTATACAACTTAGCATTTCTGATACTTGAAGCCCATTGTTTAAAAAAAGAAAACCAGATTTCGATTCAGAAAATGTGCTTTTTAAATGGGGGGTGGGTTAATTTTTTATTGAAAATTGTTATACAAATGAAAAATTTATTTAACTAAGAAAGGTCTAATTTATGAGAAATTTTCAGATGCTGAATTTAAATTTTAAAATTAGTAAAATTAAGTACTGATATTTTTAGCAATTTTATTTTAAGTTGTGATAATGGTAGTGCTGATGTATATGCAAATATGATTTGTGTATGTAATATTTTTGCATTTTAGGAAGATGTGGAAAGTTTCATGAGGCAGGAAGAAAATCAAGAAAATGCTGAATTAGTATTAAGGAAGCTGGATGAACAGCATAGCAAATATAAATTCATGGAGATGAATCTTTTCAGAAAAAAGAGAACGTAAACATATTTTTATTTAATATTTTGTATAGAAAAGTATGCATCCCATTTTCTTGCCTTGTTCAAACAATATAATAATATTTAAAGTTTGTTTTTGAACACATCCTGCTTTCATATGGTTTAAGGTTAGTTATCAGATTCAGCTTAGTGATATATAAAAAATATTCCCAGATTAGTTCTCTAACACACTAATAAATGACAGGACAAGATTGAAGTTGGAACTATAATGACTCTCAGTTTTGATAATGCAGTGTGACAAAAGGCATTGCCATGCTAACTCATGAATTGCTCTGTAGTGTATTAAATTTTAATAGGCACTTCAGGGTTTTATTCTTCTGTTCAGCCTGCCTCTTAACCAAGGTAACAACAGCTGCAGCAAATGGTCAAGTACCATATTTGCATTTATTTCTATTTATTATGTTTTGCTTCATGAAAAGAACATAGCTGAGGGTTGTCTTTAACTGCAGTGTCAAATAAAGTTAGAGAAAATAAGTGCTGTATGATGATGATAATATGTGACAGTCACAAATGAGGGAGGGCCAGGTGTTGCAACGGGCACCTCAGTTGCAGAACCACATTCTCGCAATGGCGTGCTAACAATATACACTGTTTTCTGGGGGTGGGTAATTTGCACTGCTGAGACTAACTTTGGAACAATTTTGCATAAGTAAATAAATTTAATTTAATTTTAAAAAATTAAATTAAATATTTAAAATAATGTTTAAATAAGTATTTAATAAAATTTCTGGTTCGAAAAAATAAATTAAATTTCTGGCCCATTTATTCCAATTTTTTGGTACGTTATGAGAGAGTCTCTCAGGTAGTTAACAGAATTACTTTAAAATTTATCATTATATTTAAAAATTTTAATAAAATAATCAATTGTATAAGTAATATAATTTTTCATTTATCTTAAACAAATATATATGGAAAAAATATCTAAATAACCACAGATTTTATTTAACACAACACAAAAATTATAACAAAAATTAAAATTATTTAAAATTTCTTCCATTAAAAAAAGTATACATAATTTTTGACTTACTTAAGTAAATATATGTATAAAAGAATAAGTATATCCATATTAGAATCGCTATAACTATGACTTCCCAATTCTGCAAAAATATTGTCTCTGTCATCAGGGTCAGTAAAAGACTCATTTATCATTCATGTATACTCTTCTTCTGTTAAATACTGTTTTCGTTTTGCCATTTAGGTATAAAAAATATTTTCTTAAATGGTATAAAATATGCATCTTAACTTCTAGCTTTCATCTTAGCTACTGACTAATATGCATCTTACATCTTAACTACCAACTTTCTAAAATTTAGAAAAAATTTAAAAGGAATAAATATAACTTCTAAAATGATAGAACATCTACCGTCGCTATATCGGAGAAAAAAAAGAAACTCCGAACCATGAGCATTTGTTTACATTACCCGACCAGTTAAAGAGGCAACACCCACTAATCTAGCTCTCATTCCAAAACAAAATAAAAAATTAAAAAAGCTTCAAAAGAATGAAGGTCAACATACTTTACCTTTTGAGAAATTTCGCTATTACAGAGATATCAACCATCTAATGGCAACAAAAAGTACTAATTAAATGCTCTTTCTAAAATGTCGTATGTGGTACACCCGGCCACAGAATGTATTTAAACGGTGTTGTATACATGGTGTTTGTAACTGAATGGTGCATTTTTAAAAATTAATAATAAGTCATTGTATTACCTAATGCATCTAAAAACCTACACTGTAAGCATTTGCAACTGTCCATGTTTTTCATGTGCTACCTGCTGTTTACTTGTCATGCTTACTGTGCAGCAGGAAGACGGCACAAGAGGAAAAGGCTTTCTGTGTGCTCTGTGTCTAGATCTTTGGTTCCAATGCAGTGCGAGTTTTGTGCATTTTTCCTGCTCTGCAAGAAAGTGCACGGCCCATTTTTCTTTGAACAAGAAACTGTGATCAGTGACTCATTTTTAGACATGTCAAAACAGTATTTTGAGTTTTGAGTGGCACATATGTTTCAAAGGCTAAAGAACATCCCTTGAATCCAGTGAGTGACTAGAAAATCTTTCATGAGCATTATCTCTGAAACTGTGGAATGAATTGGGAACTTTGGGATTATCAGAGGACAGTCAGCACTATTGTAAACATTGTTGTTCTGTCATGTGGGTTGGTGCAAGCAATCCTGTGGCTGAAATTTAACATGCTGTTGCCAGGTTTGTCTCCAGACTGCTGAGCTCTGAGCAGAAGGGACTATACAGTCAAAAGTCTTTAATCCGGATGTCTATAATCTGGAATGATCTATAATCCTGACCTCAAATCTACAAACTTTCTGCGCATGCATGTTTAATGTATAACGAACAGTATAAACTAAGCTAAAATTATCTAATTATCTGTTTCAGTTAATGTTGCAGATTGCATTGTTCCTTAATCTTCTAATTGGTTCCAGCTTATTATTTTTTGCAGACTGTTAGAGCAATTTTATAAAAGTAAGCTTGAACTTTTGGTTATGTCAAAAAGAATTTTCAATTCTGGAGCTGCCAAAGGATCTACAAAGCGAAAGCATGTTTCGATGTCCATCAAACAAAAAGTGGAATTGCAAAAAATGGATAAAGGCATATCCTTTGTTTCTCTAACCATTCCGAAATCTGTTTATCAATTTCACGCTGCTCTGCAGGGGAGGGGGGGAAACGTCGCGGCGCACAATGAACTGGAAGTTGATCTGTCAGCACTATCCTTATCTTCAGGGCAGATGTTTTTATTTTATTCGGCTTATAATTCTGTACTAAATGTAGTATTTCATCTCGAAGTACTCCATCTTTGATATGAGTTAAATCAAATTCCTCATCATTATAAATATCATGAATACACATCAAATGGTTTTCTGGCTGCAATTTTCTAATTTCGACTATGCGTAATGTATGCTTTACGCATGCGAGCGTTGAAAGAAATGTTTAATAAAGTAAACAAATAAATATTAAGCCTTTTTTTTTTTTTGTAAATTTTGATACCCTTTAGATCATAATTGCTCTTTTTTCATAAATTAAGGTTTCATATTTCTAATTTTATAATTTCTGCATGCCATCTTACCAGATTAAAATTGATGATCTATAATCCGGAAAAACCGATAATGCGGAATCGCCGAAGTCCCAACGAGTCCGGATTAATGCAGTTAATGCACCTAACAATTTTTTTTAGCATGATAAATAAAACAAATAAAAATGCAATAAAGTAAAAAAAATACAGTCAAAAGTCGTTAACCCGGACTCGTCGGGACTTCGGCGATTCCGGATTATCGATTTTTCCGGATAATAGATCATCAGTTTAAATCTCGTAAGATGGCATGCAGAAATTACAAAATTAAAAATATGAAACCATAATTTATGAAATAAAGAACAATTATGATCTAAAGGGTATCAAAATTTACAAAAAGAAAAAGCTTAATATTTATTTGTTTACTTTATTAAACATTTCTTTCAATGTAAGTTGCTTCGTTTCATGTGATAATACTTTCTCTTTAATTTTACTAAACAGACATAATTTCTTGTTTAGTTACAAAGTTCCGCTGTTCAAGTCCTATTGTGTTGAGAATACCGACTAATTTGTCAATCGAAATGTTTTCATTTTCAATAACCTCTGGGTCACTTTCTTCACTATCGGAAGCGAATTATAATGACGAGGAACTTGATTTAAATCATATCAAAGACGAAGTATATCGAGATGAAATACTCCGTCTTTGATATGATTTAATATTTGATATGATACTACACTTAGTACGGAATTATAAACCAAATAAAATAAAAACATCTGCCCTGAAGATAAATGTGACAGATGAACAATGTGAAATTAACAGATTTCGGATTTCAAAACATACTTTCGCTTTGTAGATACAAATTACATATTAGTAAATACGAGGGCCATCCAGGAAGTAGATTACGTTTCCGTCTGTGTCCGCTAGGGGCGGGGCTAGCGCGGCCATCTTGGGGTCAGAGCGTTGCGCAGCTCAGTCTGCATCTAGCCGTGCTAGTGAGAGGTTCGTGCTGTGCTCCGTTCAGATACTGTGACGGTTTGAAATGTCTGCGTTAATTGAAAATCCGCGAGCTGCGAGGTGCGCTCAGTAATAAGGTTTCTGACTGCAAAAAACTGTAAACCGATAGAAATCTATCGGCAGCTTCGTGAAGTGTATGGGGACAACATTATCACTGAAGGTGGAGTGCGTCAGTGGGTCATAAGATTTCAAAATGGCCGAACCAATGTTCACGACGAAGATCGAAGTGGGAGACCCAGCATAGTGACCGCCGAACTTCTCGAAAAAGTCGATGCTAAAGTCCGTGAAAATCGAAATTTCACAATAACGGAACTTTCTTTGAGTTTTCCACAAATTTCGCGAAGTTTGTTGCACGAAATCATCAGCGAAAAGCTTGGTTACCACAAGTTTTGTGCAAGATGGAAGGCAAGAAGAGGTAACGAAGTGGTTGAAGGCGCAGGCGGCCGAATTTTTCGACGAAGGAATTTCCAAGCTCGTACATCGCTACGATAAATGCCTTAATTTGTATGGTGACTATGTAGAAAAGTAGTATTTGAGTGTGGCTTTCATCTGTATATAATAAAATTTGTTTCCTATACTTTGTTTATTTTTTTATTCCAAAACGTAATCTACTTTCTGGATAGCTCTTTATATCGGAAATTCTATTGACATAATCTTTCTAATCTATCATAATCTAATAATGACGTTTCTGCCCCCTCTGCCGCAGAGCAGCGTGAAATGATAAACGATTCGGATTTCAAAACATACTTTCGCTTTGTAGTAATATATCGGGAATTCTCTTTGACATAATCGAAAGTTCAAGCTTACTTTTATAAAATTGCTCTAACAGTGCAAAAAATAATAAGCCGGATCCAATTCGAAGATTAAGGAACAACGCAATCAGCAACATTAACTGAATTAGATAACTTTGGCTTAGCATATAACTCTGTTACACATTAAACGCGCATGCGCACAAACATATTCGCAGCCGTAAGGTTCTTACGCGCTCTCGTAAACGCCTGTGCGCATGCGTGAAAGCGACGCATGCGCAGAAAGTTTGTAGCTTTGAGGTCCGGATTATGGGTGTCCGAATTAACGACTTTTGACTGTATATCATTAATAAAATTATACCATCTAATGAAATCAAAATGGCAAATGAAGAATGAAATCATGTAGAGAAAATATGTAGAGTGAGTGTTTATGATTATGAATTCAGAGCATATGGAGTTCAAAGCCATAAATATATAGAAGTATTAGCAGAAAGCTCAGAATATTAGTTTCACTATAATCACGTAACAAAAAACAAACAAACAAAAAAAGAGTAAAAGTGAAAACGACACGCAAACTTTTGTAGTATTTTATAAAATTATGTGACTGTAGCATCACACTATATGAAGTTCTCCATGAATGTGCTATGGATAATCTATCCATCATGTTCACAATCTCACTTGTTACAAGATCCAACATGAATCTCAAAAGGTTATGGACTTACTTATGCAAAATGAATTGTAGGCCGGTTAAGTAATAATGTACTTTTCGTCAGGAGAGCTGATCTGGAAACTTTTTGATGCATGCTTATAAAACTCTGTGCAAAATTCTTAGTGATAGAGTCAACATGACTGGGTAAAAATAATTTGTAGACAAATCGTAACAAATAGTGCTGCATGAGATTTTTTTTTTTAACATCTGTTCGTGTTCTAAGTATAAAAATACTCATAATGACTCCAACATACTTTCATTTGAAAAAAATATTTATTAGCTTATGAAACATAGTTAACAAAAGAAATTTCTTGGAATGGATTTTTAAATTGGTTATATATGCCATTCTTTTATTTTTTGATTGGGTGCTGTTGTAGTTTATGTGCCTTTATTTTATTTTATTTTTTGTTGCTGTTATTAATTTATTTACATGAAATAATTAAAATTTTCTTTAATAACGTATATCCTCTTTAATATTGGTCATGACATCATTATTGCTTAAAACTATATGCAGTTAATGCACCTAACAAATTTTTTTTAACATGATAAATAAAACAAGTAAAAATGCAATAAAGTAAAAAAAAATATCATTAATAAAATTATACCATCTAATGAAATCAAAATGGGAAATGAAGAATGAAATCATGCAGAGAAAATATGTAGAGTGAGTGTTTATGATTATGATTTCAGAGCATATGGAGTTCAAAGCCATAAATATATAGAAGTATTAGCAGAAAGCTCAGAATATTAGTTTCACCATAATCACGTAACAAAAAAACAAAACAAAAAATAAATAAATAAAAGTGAAAACGACGCGTAAACTTTTATAGTATTTTATAAAATAATGTGCGGAATACATATCCTTACTTTTTTCCATATTATTTTAATTTGCTTATTACTGTTTTATTTATTGTTTTTACTTATGTAATAAAGCATATTGTTATGTTTTTCCTATCTTTCTGACACCAGTTGTTACGTTATTTTCTTCCTTAACGTTTGTAGATTTGGAGTGAATAACGACGACACTTGATGAAATATCGAAACACTTTATTTATCAGTATTGTCAGGACAGCTCCAAAACACTTTTACAGTTGTCGAAGATCTACTATAAACACGCTGCAACAATCAGCGACACAGCCTTCACACTGTCAGGCAATAACGGTGGAGACAGCTTCCTGCAAAGCACCCGACTCTGCTTTCTGGAGTACAGCTCCCGACTCTGCTTGGTCGTTCTCGGAACTCCACGTACTCTCGAGACTCTCCACGCTACAACTCACGATGCACTTGACGACACACAGAGCACAGCTCCTGACTCTTCGGTTCAGTCGTTTCCGTAGCTCAACACGCTCTCTCGATGATGCACTAACTGCGATACTCTACAAGACTCTTTCGATGCACTCGACGACCCACTTGGCACTCGCTGGCCGGCTGTCAACGCGCTCGCCTTCGTAGGGATTGACTCGCTAGACGAGACACACTCACTCGATGAGAGACGCACACTAACTGACTGTGGACCAGCAGGTTTTATATAGCTTTCGGCTTGTGTTCGAGAACATTCTGGACTAAACCGGTAAGAATTCGTTCCAGAAGGTTCTCCAACCGTCCATGGTATATCGCCAATTTTTTCGCCAAATGGGCGATTTCTCACCAAATATGGCAACCCTAAAACTTCTTTGCGGGGAAGCCATCTTACCGTAATCTTGTACATTTCGTAACAATATTAAGTTTGTTTTCAAAGTTTACTGTGAATATGTAAGATTTTGAAATCTTCCTTTACATAAATATTTTAAGTTTTCATTGCTAATCTAATATAATGCAGGTAACTTTTGCCTAATTTTACTTTTAGCTCTAAAATCTAGCTTGTTATTAAGGAACGTAGTAATTTATTTTAGTCATCAAGAATCAAGATCATGTTAATGCAACATTTGTTATGTGAGTTGATTTTTAATTAAATGTGTGTAAACTGACTCATTACTTAATTTCTGCATATTTCTGACTACTGTAATAAGTTGTCCTTTATAAATTCTTCCAAGTATGTTTCATAGTATCAATATATTTTGTTGTGCAAGTACAGTAATATGCATATATTAAAAATATTCTTGTGTAACTGTTTTCATTAAAATTTTAAAAAATACTCCTAACAACATTAAGATCAAAAACTTTTTTTTTTTTTAAATTTTGTACAAGTGCATTAATTCTTTACTATTTGTATAGCATTTCTTTGTTTTCATAGATTTATTAATATATTTATAGTTTAAAGAGGCAGATCCCTGATATTAAAACATCTTTGGATATGCTAAAGTTATTAAAGGTAAAACAAGTAAGTTTGTGTTTTTTCATAATATCAGTTTATTTTGTTTTACTCTGTACTAGGAACCTCCTATAAGACAGCTGCTAATGATTTTGAATATTTTTGTATTGCGCTGAAGTGGTCATCTTGGGAGGGGGGTAATATTTAATGCTGACATATATTTTTATTCTGAACAATATTAGTAATTTTTAGTTGGGTCATCTTAAGGGGGGGCAATATTTAATACTGACATATATTTTTACTCTGAAAAATATCTAATGGGATTATCTTAGAGAAATGATTGGTACAAGAGTATTCACTATATATAGCACAGGTAAGCAACCCATGGCTCGGCTGAATTTTTTTGTGTGGCCTGTTCAAGCTTAAGGCTCAATAAGCGGTGGTGTTAAGGTTAGCATGCTTAGAAAAGAGTGGATGGTTTAAATCAAATTCTATCAATTGACAAAGCATAAAAATCACTTTATTTTTCGTTATGTGTGTTTTAGCTAATAAGAATCTGATTAATCGCAAGTCAGCATCTAAGCTTTCTTCATGAAATCTAGTATACTCTCTTATCAGTAGAGTAAAGTACTTTGGTGAGAAATGCTATGCTAAAAAGAGTATATAACTTGAAAAACGAAATTCAGTTGTCTGTGGAAATAAAAGAATATTTCTTTTCCTAAGTTGGTGATAAAGAATATATGTGTGTTTTTGCCTTTCTTATTGATATCACTCAGCATCCAAATAGATAATCTCTAGATAGATTTACAAAATAACACTGATTTTGAGAAATAAATTTCAGAATGTGGATATCAAAATATTTTATCAAAATTACTTGATTTACGAAAAATTTCCTCGATTAGTTACATATGCAATGCAAATCATGACACTTTTGAGAAGTACTTACACTTGTGAGCAAAATATTTTCCACAATGAAGATAATTAAAAGTTACAACTGATCGAAGCTAAATGACATACGATTGGAAAGATGCATGCAAATTGCTGTTTCTATAGTTATAGACAGTTGGTTGCAAAGAAGCAATGCGAGATTTCTTATTAAAATGTAATAATTTTCTTTTGCTGTTCTGTTTTTAATAGTATTTTATTATATATTTTATTTATGTTATTTTTATAAGTTTGTTATTTTGTTAATAAAGAGATAATTTGTGTTCATTATCTAATATGGATATGTTAATGATTTTCTTAAAAAATTTTTTTAAACTACTTTGTTGTAAAAAGAGCATGCTTATCCATGGTAGAGATTAAGTTGAGCCGCCCAACCAGTATAGTGCTGACTGCCATGCCGAAGGGCCATAGCTCGAATCCCGGAGAAGGCATAGATGTTTGTAAATGTAAATAGTGTTGGTGCAGCATGGTGGCACTCTAAATATGCAGTGAGCCGAAAGTCCTCTTGTGTGGTTTGGTGGAAGACCTTCAGACCCGTCCCCCTGGGGTGCTGTTCATCAAAAGTGGGGGTGGAACTGAGTTAATTGCGCTGTGCTCAAGACTTTTGCTAACGACAGGCTTATCTTGTGCTCCTTGCCATGAAGAATTTCGTGAACTTGGGCTGATGTTACTGTTAGACAAGTGAGCATAAGTAACTACAGATTAAGTTAGATTATTTGAATATGGCAAAGTACATTAGGCCTATTTCCTCACTGTATATAACGTCAAAAGTAGGAAATAATACTTAAAATATTGTTATCTATTTCCAAATATAAGCTGATTCATGTACAAGCTGTGTCTGTTGTAAAACTTTAGACAAAATTAAAACCTTTTGGTAAGCCGAATTTGAAATCAGTGTCTATATGTCGCCAAAAGCTGGACTAATTAGTCATCTAGAAGACAAGTGGAAGATGAATGCTATTTAAAAAAAAAAAAAAAGTCCAGGAACTGTCTTCTGACCATTTAAAATATGTTTCATCAATAATGTTGTGATCAGAAGTGATTATATTACCTACAAACTGAAAGACAATGATATTAATAGAAAGATGGAGTATGATGTTATTCATTTGCCTGTAACTAAACACCATCATTTATTTGTTTGTTACTTGCCTGTAACAGAGAGAGACCTTGAGAATTTGCTAGAAAATTCTGAGTCAGCCACGAAAACGCCCATGCAGCCAGCCCGTTCGCGGGATTCGAATCACGGACCGAACTACCAGTGTTCAGAGTCTTTACCGCTCAGCCGCTGGTGGGCCTCAGAATTCTTTAGGAATAGCATAAAAAAACTTATTGTGTTGGAGGAATGCTATTCATTCAGAAGAGAGACCTTGAGAATTTGTTAGAAAATTCTGAGTCAGCTGTTGATATTGAAAAAGTTAACTTATGTATGGTAGTATTAAATTTTTTAAAAACATTATTTTCAGTTATTAATTTTTGGGATCAAAATATTTAGAAGTCATTTTGAAACCCAACCTTAAATTAAATTTCAATAGCAAAAAATGTATAAACATATCTTTCCTTATATGCAGAAATACATAGTATTTGCAATTTAGAAGTATCGTAAAAAATAATAGCAATAGACAGTACTGTATCAATTAAATTCTATGTAAGGCTACACTGTATTTTTAACCAATGTAAAAATATTTGGTAGGAGCGATTTAGTTTCTATAATTAAGATGTCAGAAGAGCCTTTATTAAGCTGTTCTGATAATGTATCCGCATTGTATAGAAATAATTTGTAGTTAAAGTAAAATGGGCTTCTATAACAGATTTAAATAAAATGAATTAAATAATGATAGTTTGGGGACTGTATTGGTAAATGCCTTCAGTAGATCGCACATGAAAATTGTATTCTTCCCAAACACAATATTTATTCTGCATTTTGAATGAAAATGCAGTTAATAGAATTTGATATTTTGACAGGACAAATAACAGATATTTAACACAATAATACTGCTAAAACTCATTAGGTATTTGATGTTAAAGAATATTGTATTGCATGGTGCAAGTGACACAATATAAAGTTATATCATTAATAGTGTTAATTTTTAAGTAGATTTTGAATAAATAATAAGGTAAATAAATACTAATTTAATCCACTATGTATTCTCCTTCTGAATGAATAGCATTCCTCCAACACAATAAGTTTTTTTATGCTATTCCTAAAGAATTCAGAGGCCCACCAGTGGCCGAGTGGTAAAGATGCTGAACACTGGTAGTTCGGTCCGTGGTTTGAATCCCGCGAACGGGCTGGCTGCATGGGCGTTTTCGTGGTTTTCCCCATGTGTAACGTGTATACGAGCCAGTTTCCCTTAGAAAGTCCTCCACGAAGGCATCCCTCCCTTTAGGCAGATAGCCCTCGTGTGCTTTGCCATAATCGAATAATCCAATCCAATCCAATCCTAAAGAATTCAGTTAGCTTATTTGAAAAAAATCTTGTAGGTTTGTTTCAAGTGCCTGTTGAAAATTGTATTTTTTCCAATTAGTAAAATTTTGCAAGCTTCAAATGCAAATTTTGTAAAGAGAATTATTTATTCTTGTGCTCCCATTACACTGTATGATAAATTATTTTTCTCCCTTTAGTACATTAATAATTTCACGAGTTTTAAGTAAAAGCTTATTCTGTAAAAACTTTTTTCTAATTTTTTTTATTAATGCATAATGTGCTTTATGTCTGCTATTTTAATGAGAGGTTATTAAAACAACAAGTTAATACCTACATGCTTGCAAGCCCAAATTTATCTGTATGAAATGTTTTTGCTTGGTGGTATATATATGTTTATGACAATCGCATGTTTAAATACATTCCTGTTTGTAAAGCATTATTTATGAGATGACCTGGTGCAAATCTTCAGAGAATTGACAAGCCAAAACTAATATTCATATAGGGCACTCAAAATATATGACAAGCTGATGGAAAAGGTATAGAAAGCCCTGTCGAATGGTTTGATGATAGTGAAAAGGGGTGGAAGATCCACAGACCCATCCTTCAGGGTGCTGTCCTTCAAAATTGGGGCAGAACTGGACAAAATCATTCTATTGTATGATGCTGTGCTCAAGACTCATACCAGTGATACATACATTCTTGCACTCCTTGCCACTATAAAATGAGTGGACTTGTTCTGGTTTGGTCAGTCAAGTGAAATTAGGTACAATAACAACAAATTTCAAGAATGAGTTAACCTGTGCCCATATGTTTCACAAGTGGTTCATAAAATAAGTATTGATCAAATTTATTTTCTTGTCTCTTCTTAAAACTGATTGTAGTTAAAATATATAGATTATTTTACATTAAGAGGAGAAAAATGAAAATTAATTTGTTAGTTTACAGGTAAAAATTATAACAGTATCGTCATATAGTGTTGTAAGTTTTTCAACAATATGTGATGAAAAAAGAAATTATTAAAAATTTATTCCTAAAAAAAATATTTTCAACAAAGAACAAAATATAACTTTTAAGACAGTCTCCCAGTTCTTATATTTGGGAAAGTTTTATACTTGTTATAAGAAAATATACACATTTTTTAATCAAGTTATTTTTGATTTTACAAGATTGATTTTTTGACAATTTAATTTTAAAAGTTTGATTCCCATATGACAAAAATTGACTGGGATATTTAATTTCAAAATTTAAAATTTTTTATGTAATTTTCCTTGATGTCTTACCTTGAGGGATCAGTTATTCGAGTTAGAATAATATGAGGAAATAAGTTTAAATGAAGTGCAGTAAAAATGTGTATAATTTTAATAGGTCGTATAAAAAAGTCGTATGGTGTTCACATCAGATATTTTTAGTATGTGTGTTTTAAAATTTGTGTAATTTTTCTTGTTCTTCATTGTACAGGGAATTTGTATTTGAGTGTAAAAATTTGATTTTATAAGTCATTAAAAGCCACTGTGTTCTGTCTTTTTATATATCACCATATACTGAATTTTTATAGAAATATTATCATAAGTGCCTTTATCCATTTCACTTTAGTACTGCAGTAAAAAATTCTCCCCCCCCCACCTTATTTCAAAATTATGTATTCTTTGAACTGAAACTAAATTCTGTTTTTCTAAGTCTTAAATAATCACAATAATATAAGAGAAGCTCATGAACTTGAACATTAAAGATGCATCACCTTTTAATTGGTATTACTGCACATTTTTCTAAGTTTTAAGTGTTAAAATTTTCATTCCAGCAGAATTTTCTAATTGTATGTCTCTCATTACTCCAGTTATTTTGATTTATATTTTCTTTCATATTTATTGACTTTTTGAATAACTAATATTGAACCGTAGCAGATAGTTTAATAGAATATTTTTTCAGATATTTTTTTTTTTTAACATTTTTCATGTGATATAAGTCAGTTTTACATTTTTCTCTTCTCCAATTAGGATGCAGAAGAGACAATTGATTCACAGTTTATGGTATGTGATGATTTGTATTTAAAAGCTAAAGTTCCTCCTACAAATAAAGTTGGATTATGGCTTGGAGTAAGTTAATTTATGTGTGAGTTTTGTTTTAAAATAAGTTGAAAAAAGATCAAAGCTTGAAAGAAACTCGAAAAAAAAAATGCATTAAAAGCAAATTATGAAATTTTGTCTGTTAAACTATTAATACAATTTCAAGTAATTAATTAAAAAAAATATCAGTGCTGAAATATTAGGTACTGCATGTCATTTAAAATAAATTTCTCTTTTATGATATTACAAATATATCAATGAAATTTTAAAAATGTGAACAGTATTCTATTGACTTATGAAGAGGTTTTTCAAAAACTTTCTGGACATTTAAATTTGACTTAAATTAGGTAGAACAGCAACTATATTTTGGCATAGATTTTCGTAAAGTGTAATCGCAGTTTCAAGTGTAATCAAGCTAAGATACTCTTCATCAAAAGCAACAAAATTCTTCAAATGAGGGAGTAGTCAAATGTAATGGGGGAGCAAAGCATACATGAATATAGGGCTATCTGCCGAGAAAAATGGCATCAAAATGTAAAATAAGATATTATAATTCTAAAAGCATTAAGGACTTTGTGATATATATACAGTCATGGCTGCTTTCCCTCTTGCAGAATTCTTTTTGCTTGTGATTATGTCTGATTGCTCATGAAATCAATAGAGTTTTGTTCAGAATCTATGCCAGAATAAGGTTGCTGTTTTATCTAATTTAGAGTTTTAGAATGGCATGTTTCCCTTCCAATTTTACTTAAATTTAATTCTCCCAGATCTCTTAAGTAATGATTTACCTTGATTATCATGCAATGACAGCAAATTATAACAGCCCTTTCTTTTCATATTATGCTTAGTGGAAGTGACTAGTGTCACTATTATTTCAAAGTATGCTATGGAACTTAGACAGAAAACAAACAGACTTACCAACAGTGATTTATTATGATTCTAGTAAAGGTTTGAAAGCTGAGGATGGCTTTTACAGCATGTCATCAACTTTGCTTGACATAGCTTCTTCTTATGTGGAAGTTTTTAATTGGTTTGATGAATTCAATCATCAAAAAAGAGCTCTTCAAGATAATTCATAGACTGGAAGAACAAACATTGTAAACTCAAAGAAATAACACTTCTGTTGTGGAATCAAATGAAAAAAAAAATTTGGGAACATCTGTTTCAGAAGATTGTGATTCGTACACAAGGATATTACCAGCTTTTTATGCATAAACTTGTATAGTATTGCATTTATGCATGAGGAAACTTTTATGGTATTCTCTATGAAGAGCTTTAGTAATTGTTTTGCTTAATAAATCTGTCATTAATTGTCAAAAAAGTAGGGGAAATATGTTGATGGTAGCATTTCATACAAAAATTAAAAATATTACAGGGGGAAATATCTGGGATATCATCATTCATGGTGAAACATGAATGTATTAGTTTGAATTGAAGGCAAAGAGACAGTCCTTGATGGGGGAACCTCCAAACAAAAGCTTGTTGATGAAATGTTGGAAAGTTATATTTTTCGTATATTCTGGTTATGTTGCTTTAGTATTCTTAAACAAGTGAATAATAACTCTGACTGATATGTGGCAGTTTATCTTTCTAAAGTATGAGAGAAAAGGTGTGAGAAGTTGCAAAAGAATGGCACACAAGGTTTGCTTCTGTGCCATGCTAGTGTGTCAACACACACTGTTTCCTAAACAAAAGACTACCTAAAGGGACAAAAAATTATTTTTCCTCTTTATTCTAGTCTTTTGATTTTTCCCTATGTGAAATTTTCTGTTGCTGAGAATAAAAATATCATGCTTTGGAACACATTTTCATAGAATAAAAATTTTCACAGAGAAACTCAAGAGTAATGACAAAAAGCGGAGCATGCTGCCTTCCAAAATTGAATTGAAAGAACAAGAAAATATATAGAAGCTCAAGGACCTTGTTAGCAAAATAGTAATCCTATATATATTTTGGCTTCATGGATTTTGTATGCCTAGAAATGTTTTTAGCTGTTTACATGTATGTAAATGTTAATGAAAGTTAAAATTTACTTATGTATATAATACCTACATCAAAACTTTTATTTGCTAATTATAAGTGGAAATCCAAAGGCAAAACAAAATATGCAAAGAAAACCACATCTATTATAATTCCAAAAGATACCTTATGACACCTATAATCAGGGCCAGATTAAGATGGTTAGAAGCCCTTGTCTCCACATACATTTACTGTAAGGCCTGTGTTTTCCTCCTTTCTTTCTGTCTTGTTCTTGAATTAACTATACCATAGATTCTACGGTAAAACTGGCAATGAGAAGGTTTAGTGGTGTTCTCTTTCCATTAGTTCCTAAACACCTGTTTGCGGTACCCTTTGATAGGCCAAGTATGTTTTTATTTTGCTTAATTGTTAATCCAACTGTACTAATAATTGTGAATATTTCTTGAATATTACATTAGTTATACATATTTTAATTTTCATGCTGCCATGATTTTTAAAATGCTTTATTTGGCTAGGACATACACCACTTTCCTGTTGCCTGCAGTTATATTGATTTCCTTAACCCATCCCCTTGGAACAGTTCCAATTGTAGAAATGAATTATTAAAGATATTTGCTTCATTATCTAAAATTTCAAAATATGATCAGGAAAATTCATTGTAGATTGAAATGAAAAACATGAATTCTGAATATCTTTGTAGCTGCTTGCCTATGTTTAAAGCATGTCAAAATCCACTTTTTTCCGATTGTCATTACTCTTAATAATTCAAATTATCAAGAGTTTTTTTTTATTGTTGCGAAATAAAAAAATTGCTTTTGCTTTCTTTTCGTGAGTTGGTAAATTTAATTTTGGTACTTTTCTGTTTCGTCGGCGCAAATCTCGCCAAGCAGACTTTATTGGCGACAACATACAGTATACATTGAAAAAAATTTCAACAAATATTAGTCCTAAGAATTTTTTTATTTTGAAGGCACAAACATTTTAATATCGTTTAAATTATGTAAAAAGACATTAATTTAAGAATTTACTATGCTTTCATGATACAACATCCTGATTTGCCATTTCATACTATGTGACCCCAAGTGATCTCATCTCACGTAAACTGCGCTACAAAAATCTAATTCTCTCAGTAATTACCTACAATAATTTCAAGTTAAATCTTAATATGAAGTACAAGTTTAAATGCAAGAATTATTTCAATTCGTACAAATACCTTAGAAATTATGTAAAACTGCAATGCTTTACTTCGCTAGTGCATTCTCATTAGAATTGATGAATTCCTTTGACTTTTTTTTTTTCTGTATTTTCACCTTCAGGTGAGCAGTGTGATTGCATCCTAATGGACTTAATTACCGCGAATGGCCTTAGGGCACAAAATTAAACTATCTGGTAAAAATTCTATGTAATTGTATGCCAATATTGAAAGAAACAATCAATCTGATAAGAAATGGCTGCAACTTGTTTTGAAAATGAGGCGTAAAAGGTTACCAGCAAGAATATTCCGTTTGGCATCGGTTGTACCATTTTTGGCGACTTTATCGCTTGTGCCGGCAAAATGGAAAAGTACCTTAATTTCTTGTATTTTTCACAAATTCCTTTCCTATTTATATTTATTGCAGCAGCAAAAGATACACTTCTGATGAATAATATTTGTTTTTATTTATTTTCTTATTCTGGGTTCATCTATATTACTACAGAACTTCATCATAATCATTGAATTTTATTTTTAATGCAGGCTATGCTATACACAAAAATTACATAACAGTTTTACAATGAATCTATCATAGGGCATTAGAAACTTATTTTATTTATGACACTCAATGTATAAAATGGCATTTGCTGCAAATATGTTAAGGCCAGATAAAATTAATTTTTGTTTGCATTTATCTATACTGCTGAATAAAGCATTAAGTTAATGTTTAACTGTTAATGTATTCAGCGATGTATTTTTGTAATATCAAACATAAATAAAAAAAAAGTATGTTAATTTTCAGTTGGCAAAAAATGTCTATTTCTATAAGACAAGATTTTATTAAAACAGGGTAGCTGTTATGTGTTTTCCTATATTTGACTAAATAATAATTCTTCTTCAATTGTTAAAAATGTTTATTTTTAATGTGTATATAAGCAGACATCAGTTATATATTAAAACTTGTAATATTTTACTGATTTTTGTTAAAAGGGAATAGTATTTAGTAATTAACTGTTATATTCCTATGAAGATTCAAATTTGGTAATACCATTGTTTCTTACTGGCTCTTTCCTTTACCCACCTTCACTCACCAATTTAGTTTTGTTAACCAGCTTTCTTTAACTGCTTGCCTGATTATCTGAGTTATCTCGAATTTGTATATATTGGAGTTAATTATTATCCCGAGAAAAGAATTTGTCAGTGCGATTTGTTTTATCACGATTTTACTCGGCCTGGAGGAAATGAAAGGAAATATTCAGCTTTAATTGGCAGTTTGCCAAGTTTTGTTGGTTCCGTGGTTCTTTTGGTGGGACTGGTCACCTCTTTTCCCTATTGTCTAGTATACATCGACTTCTGGATTAGTAATGTATATAGAATGATAGTTGCGTTGAAAAAAAAAATAATAATTGTGATGATGCAAGGCAGCTAAAGTAATTATTTTTCAAATAGTGATTATAACCTCAAGGCATTTTCCAGATGTTATTCCTGCTATTAAAAACAAATTCAGTGAGACAGTGTTCTCTGTGCTCCTGTAAAAGAGATTCCAGAGGTAAGCCAGTAAGAAAAGAGATCAGAAACTAGTGTATATAATGTCAGGTATCACTTTGTGTTGTCCCTTGTTTCAAAAACTATCATACAACGACTAATATTTAATTTTTTTTTTATTTGCCCGAGATAACTCTGGATAGTAAGAACTAATATTAAAACTAAATGCTTTGAACACCTGTAAAAAATTAAAAATTCAACTTAAAACCTATATTTTTTGTTTTAATATTAAAATAAAAAAAATTGATGATTTTTTGGAATTTTTTCAAAAAAAATTTGTAAGGGAAAGTGGTTACTAATATATTTTGAAGTT